CCAATCTCACGTACAGGAGATATTCTCTGCACCTAGGTAAATCCCACCCACACTATAGCATCTGCATGCACTACTTAACATGCATGTGCTCAATAAAAAAGCTCATAAATTAACTGTGGATTGCCTAATTATTTTACCACTATTTATTTGTCTTATTTTCTTCCTTAGTCCGTGAGCTCCTTAAAAACAAAGAACTCCTATGCCTGCATGTTATGTAAGTTTTGGAGCATGAAATGCAAAACAGAATATTTTATTCATCCAGAAAGTGTACATTGAACAGCTACTACGTGTGAGACACTCTTGTTTTTTGCTTTGGACAGAGTTTCACTCTGTCACCCAGGCTAGGGTGCAATGGTGTCAACATAGCTCACTGCAACCTCAAAATCCTGGGCTCAACTCATCCTCCTGCTTCAGCCTCCCGAATAGCTGGGACTACAGGTACAGGCCACAACACCTGGCTAATTTTTTTTTTTTCTATTTTAGTAGAGAACTAGGAATTTCAACAAGATCCTGACATTCGTGGTGCTTATATTTCTAGTGAGAGACATAATTCATATACTCACAATTTTTAAAAAACAAAACAAGATTGTCAGATAATGGTAAAGACTATGCAGGGAATTATTGTTGAGCAGTGTGATGGCAGTCCTAGGGATTACTGTAGACTGAGTGGTCAGAGAAGATTAGAGAAGGAGGCATCATTTATACTAAGTTTGAATGGCAAGAAAGAGACAGCTACGTGACTATCAGAGGGAAGAATATTCTAGGCAAAGCAAACAGCAACTACAAAAGGCCTAATGTAGAAATGAGCTTGATGTAGGGAATGAAGTCAAAAAGGCTAAGCGTGACTCAAGAGAAGTGTCTGGAAGAAAGAAGAGATGATATTGGAGAAAAAGGTAGGGGAAAATTACGTTGAATGTGATAATCCAAAACGAGGAGCCTGAGTTCTATGTTATGAAGTTATAAAGGAGAGTCTTTTCATGATCTTACTCAAAAAGAACGATATGCTCTTATTTATGTTTTGAAAAGGTCACTTTGTTGGCTATGTAGAAAATTGGATTAGAGGATAGAGGGTGTAGGAAGAAAGTCTATTGCATAGTTGAAGTGAGAGAAGGAGATTGTTAGCTGGTGTTGAGTCTTTTAATTTAGGATAAGCCAGAGGTTGGCAAATTGGGAAAAGCCATGATGTGACATGTGTGCTCTAGCAGACCCACATCCCAAAGGGCTACTGGAAGGAATTCCTGAAGATGGTGAGGCTGACTCTGTCCACTGGAAACCAATGGAAAAGTGTTCAAAAACTCCTGTGTTAGCTAACAGGCTTCTGAATGTATCACTGTGGTCCACACAGAAGGCTGGAGAAGGTAGCAAGGAGATGCTGTATCAGCTACTACAGCCTTAAAACAAAGTTGGTCTCTTTGGACTTTAAAATTGTTCCTATGCAGCTTATTTTATTTTTGTTTAATCGAATAAACAAGAGGGTTTTTTTTTTTCCATGGGGGAAAAAAAAACATGCAGGAAGTCATGTTAGGTCTAAATCTCGATGGATGAATAAGATTTTGCAGTGGGGAACAACAGACCCAAAAGCTCAGAACATAAAGATGAGTAATGCCTAGGAGATTCATGAGAAGTTTATATGACTGGAGATAGGATATATAGTGAGGAGTAGTGGAAGACAACTATGACTTGAACTCATGCAGAAAAAAAAAAAGTCCTTGAACCTGAACTGGAACTTTTATTTATTTTGTTTTGTTTTATTTTATTTTGGTGAAAATACTTAATATGAGATCTGCCCTCTTAACAAAATTTTAAGTGTGTACTACGTTATTGTTAACTCTAGGTATGATGTTATACGACAGATCTCTAGAACTTACTCATCTTGCTGGACTGAAACTTCATGCCTGTTGATTATTATCTCCACATATTCCCCTGCCCCTCAGCCCCTGGTAACCACATTTCACTCTTTGATTCTGTAGATTTGACTATTTTAGAATGGTTATAAAGTAGAATCATGAAGTGTTTGTCTTTCTGTGACTGGCTTATTTCCCTTATGCCATGTCCTCAAGGTTCACCACATTGCCTCATATTGCAGAATTTCCATCTTTTTGAAGGCTAAATATTTATTCCATGGTATGCATATATCAAATTTTCTCTATTCATTCATCTGCCAATGAACATGTAGGTTATTTCCACATCTTGGTTATTGTGAATAGTGCTGCTATTCATTTTCCTATTAATTTTCCTTCTCTTGCTTTAACATAGTGAACATAGAAGTGCTAATTCCTCTTTGAGATCATGATTTCAACTCTTTTGAATAAATACCCAGAAGTGGAATAGGGGGAATGCTGGACTACTTAGTAGTTCAACTTTTAATTTTTTTTGTTTTAAGAGACAGGGTCTCACTCTGCTGCCGTGGCTGGAGTGCAGTGGTGTCATCCTAGCTCACTGCAACCTCAAACTCCTGGGCTCAAGCAATCCTCCTACCTCAGCCTCCTAAGTAGCTGGGAATATAGACCCATGCCACCATACCTAGCTAATGTTTTAAAAAATGTTTTGTAGAGACCAGGGCTTGCCATGTTGCCCAGGCTGGTCTCAAACTCCTGGCCTCAAGCAGCCTTCCCACTTCATCCTCCCAAAGTGCTGGGATTACAGGCACGCGCCACTATGCCTAGCCCTATTTTTAATTTTTAAGACAGCTCCATGCTGTTTTCCATAGCAGCGACACCATTTTGCATTCACAACAATAGTGTGCTATGATTCCAGTTTCTCTACATCCTCACCAACACATGCCTTATGTTTTGTTTTGATTTTGTTTTATGATAGCCGTTCCAACAGATGTAAGGTGATATTTCATTGTGGTTTTGATTTGCATTTCCCTAATAATGACATGGAACATTTTTTTATATATGTGTTGGCCATTTGTATATCTTCTTTGGAGAAATGCTTTTTCAAATCCTTAGCTTATTTTTTTTTATCATATTATTAGGGTTTTTGCTATTGAGTTGTAAGAGTTCTTGGACTTGGACTTCTGAGAACAATTTATATTTGTGGTGGAAGATCCCCACAAGTGACATAAAAACAACCAATACAGCCTGAAGATAGAAGTCCTCTGTTAAAATACAACACCTGAATTAAGGGAATTTGACACTGTAAATTGCATTCTTTCTATTTTTATTGTGGTTTTGCCTAGAAAAAAATATTTTTGTGTGCATTTAAAATTCCCATTAATTTAGGATAAGCCAGAGGTTGGCAATTTTTTTTCTCTAAAGGGCCAGATAGTAAATATTTTTAGCCTTGTGGGCTTTGCGGTCCCTATCACAACTACTCAACTCTGCCTTTGTAATGCAAAACAACCATAGGTAATATTTAAATAGAAGAGCATTTCTGTGTCCCAGTAATATTTTATTTACAAAAGGAGGAGGTAGGCAGGGTTTGGCCTGCAGGCCATTTGTGTCCTGACCCCTGCAATAGGCAGTGCTGTGACAAGGCTGCATTATAGTTGAGAGTGACAGGCCATAGGAAGAGGCGTGGAAGCTTTCTATGGAAAGAACTGTATTTTGTTATTGTCATTAACAGCTTTTTTTTTATAATAGTACCTCTTTGCTAAAAATTACAACTGTTTTTGTTCAATTTGGGATCCCTGGTCTGTGACATCTCTTTTGGCTTTTTAGAGATTTTTGTCTAATTTCCTCCACTTCTTAATTTTTTAAGGTAGTCTACAAACTTGATCTTGTCAATCAATTGCTTGATCTTGTCAATCAGACAAATAAGTTCTCCCATATAGTATGGTGGTTTGAAAGAACTCATTTCCTCAGTTAGACATTTCATAAACTTAAAATTATACACTTGTTTTTTAGGTGAGCATACTTTTCTGTATATTGATTTCAGTTTAATAAGTATGTGTTGAATTGAATCAACCGAAATATCTGGTGGCCACACAGAGACATATACTCAATATGTATGGTGGATGGTTTTTCTTTACATAAATACAAATGAGAGTCACTCAAAAGAGGAGAAGCACTTTTAAAAAAATTTTTGTCCTTTGGTCTTGTTAGTGGTAAACCAATTCTGGCCCAATTGGTTTTTGTGGGATTTTTTTGTTTGTTTGTTTATTATTTTTTTCTTTCCCAGACCTACACCTTTCCTGAACCTTTGGCCAATTATAAGCTTATTAGTGTGACGTTTATAAAACATCAACATGGTGCCACTGTTTTAAGTGTCATAGTCAGGACACAAAGGTGTTTGGAATAAGTCAAATTACATATCCATAGCACATCTCTTTCAATTAGTTTTCATCTCTAGAGGGTGAGTACAGAGTAATTTAGAAACATATGCTTGTTATCTTAATTGACAATTACATAGAGAGAAAGAGGCAAAAAGAACTTGAAGGGAACAGTTGTTATTTAAAGAATGCATATGAGATAGGTATCTTTCTTGCCACATATAGTTTGGCTTTTTAATGAAATTGCTTTTGAGTTTGATATTGAGTACTTTTTTTCTATTAGTGTCATTGAGTATTTTTATAGGATACAAAGGAGACCAAAGCTGAATTGTGAAGTGTCTATCCAAATAGATATGGCCACCTGCCAAAAGTGTATGAAGGGGGTAAAGTTGTTTCTGTGTCTTCTAGTAGTTTCTAGGGAAAGCATAAAACACATTGGCACAAGCAATCACATTTCCATTTCAGTGGAAAGAGTGATGGACTAGGAGTAGACAATTTGTGTTTTAATTTCTACTTTGGCCCCTCAGTAGTTGGGTTGAATAACTGTATGACCTTGAATCCATCACCAAGCGTTTCTTGGCTGTCTCTCTGTCTGCTTATCTATTCATCCGTCTATTGGTATCAAGTTGGATAATATCTAGATCAGAGTAGGTTATGTTATACTCTGGTAATAAACAATGCCTCAAATCTCATTGGCTAAAACAACCTAAGTTTATTTCTTGTTCCCTCCCTGTACCAATCAGAGGTCTCTGTTCTTCATAGTCACACAGCAAACCTGATGAAGCAGAAGCTGTTTCCTACCTGTTCTGGGAAAAGATAGAGAACTGGAAGCATTTGATAAACATGCCAATGACTACACAGATAATAATTTCTAAGACTCTTTTTACCTATAAAAGTTTATGCAATTTTGGGGGAAATCATGGTTTCTTTCCAGATTTTTTCTTTAAAGGTTAAGAATCTCCCTAAGGTTTTATGATTATGAATGATATAATTTTCTTTTGTTTATTTTAAATTCTGTATTAGTATTTGCTTTTTATTAAAAGCAAAAACAACATATTAATAGCTAAAGCTATTTTAAGAATCTCTTTCAAATGCCCTTTGTTTATCTTACTATTTTTTTAAATTAATGAACGTATATAAATATCTCTAGTCTGTCCTATAATTCAGAATTTGGTGTCTGAGTTAATATTTCATATTCTGTACTATTGTGATTTTATAATGATATTTTCAGTTTTCCAGACTGAGACATATTGTTTTTTAGTCTGTGTACAAAAATAATTCTGACCCTTCACATTTTGTTCCTGGGATCTGGCCAGATGTATTTCAGCACCCTAATGGAGTCCCTGCTGTGGGACTAATGGCATCCTCTCCTTACCATTGTACCAAGATAGGATAGTCTCTCTGCATTGTCGCTAATACTGGTGATGCCCTACAATTTGGAAGAATTTTTTGGATTTAGTAGAATGTTAGATGCATTTATCAGCAAAGATGATTATTATTATTCTTTTGGTTATGAGATTACTTTTCAGTAATTCCAATTTGGCCATAACATACCTTGCTTGTCATTTTATTTTATTTTTTTCTGAACTCTCTCAGAGCTGTTCTTTGGAGTTGATTTCTATCACTCCAGTATTTCATTGCCTAGAAAGGAGATTTTTGTTGTGTATTTGCTTTTCAGAATTATTGATAGAATCTTGAAACTTTAAGGCTGGTGCTTGGTTTCAGTCTCTTTCCAGAAGCTGGGAATTGACATGTGCTGGTGGTTCTTTTTGTTGGGAAGAATGCATTTGTCCCTAACTTTTGTCTGTCGTCTGTTAGCCAGTTCCCAATTCAAGATGACTTGAAACATTCCTTCTGACCCCTGATCATTTTGTTTACTTTCTTTCTTCTCTTCCTCTATCCCCCACTCACTTCCTCTTACCTTGATCTTCAAAAGTTCTTCCGAAGTGATGAGTGGTTTGTTTGCCTCTAGATCGATTATATGTTATTTCTTACTTACCTGCAGCTGAATCTGTATTTGCAGAGATTTAGTTGGTTGCTGAGAAATTATTTTAGAAATACCATAACAGGATACGAGTTGCATGGATTTTATAAGCATAAAATATAGAAAGAAAAGGTTTTGAACAATCTAGTAATATTTTTATGATTGGGGCTTTGGTTATTTTTTCTCTAAATCAGAAGTTTTTGAGAATTGCAGCTAAATGAGTTGAATCTGAAAATTAAGAAAAAGAACTTAATTTTTTTAGTTATTTAGAAAATAGACTTAGAGAGTTGTAATTGTGTTTTAAACAATAATAATTACATTTTAAGAGTATTGCAGAAATATTGATGTTTTTAAATATGCAAACTCATCACCTTATTCCTTTAAGAAATGGTGACAATACATCCAGGTTCACTGGGACAATTTTGACTCATGCCTACTGTTCCTATGTAATTATTAATAGTGTACTATTTCACTCTAAAGCGTGGCCTAGTTTGAACAATAAATTATATGAGTACTTTATTTAAAGTAGATCAGCCTTTAATTTGGGTGAAGAAAAATATATACATATCCTACTTAAGGTTAAAGTAACAATTTCAAAATATTCAAATAACCATAATGATATATCAACACAAATAGATTAATAAAATATAAAGCCAATGCTTAATCATTTTCCTTTTACATCTAGATACACAAAAACACTAGACTTTCCTTGCAGTTAAATGATACAGTATAAGAAAAAAATTATGCCTGAGGCAAATTAAAAGTCTAATTTTTACTTCATCCAATGCTTACAGTCTTTATTTTTCTGTGTATAGCATAACTTTCTTAGTACATCACTGATTAAAATAACCAACATGTAATAGGTTCATTGCACAGTAAATGACACCCTGAATTTTAAAATGGGTTGATATATGAATTAGAAATGTAACCAGGAAACCCTTAGACCCACTTTACAAAATTCTGCTATTCCTCAGACTTAAAACAAAACCTACAATTAAAAAGAAACACACAATTTTGTCTATTAAGCCAGAATCAGATTATGCACTTTAAACCTGGAGATTTTATAGAACACACTAATAATATTTTACACTCATAAACCAGTTTGAAGCCTGAAACACAATTTCATTTATCTTTATATTCTAAGCTTTATAGCATTGCAGAAAGTGTCCATCTGTTCAGCTGAGATTGCTTCAAATAGTGAGTGGTCAGAAAGACTTAGATGACAAAGGTCAAAGGAGCCTCTTGACCCTGTGATACTTGCCAAAGCAATTGGAGCATCAGGGCTGATATATAGTTAGATACAGTTCGCTAAAGCAGGCTCCACTTTAATTGGTAATGATAGCAAGAATACACAGTAAAGTCATTGCTGAAAGAAAACAAAAAGTATCCAATATAGTAATTTATTACCAGTCAGTGGGTTTCATGCACTAGGTTGTTTTACCCCTGCAGTGGCGAGAGAAAGCAAAAAGGTACTCTAACACTTAGCTGAAAATGGATGCCCTGCTGATACCCAAGATGCGTAGTGGCCCCGTGATTGCCCGTGCCATTAGCTTGGTAATGTCTCTATTGTAAACTCAGCTCCCCATGTTCTTCCTGTGCATCAGCTGCAGATTGAAGGCTTTCTCCTTTGTCTCCTATTTGCACTGCCAATCATGTGGCTTTCCACGACCCGAAGGAGGGAGACAGTTTTACTGCCAACAACTATCTTCAGCAACCTAGGGCTCAAAGAATCTAAAAACAAATGGTCAGCACTTTCATTTATACCTTGTTGTTTGACTTACACATTGTTGAGATATTTGTTCGGTCCTGTCGTTCCACCAATGGTGTCCAAATTTTTCATATCTTTGTAAGATACACACTTTTAATAACTGGTCTATCCCTACCTGCTTATAGTTCCCTGTGAAATTAAATTCATGTTATGAATTGAAGTATATTTGGTGCAGTGTGAGCACAGCCCTTTGCAGATCTTTTACATTTATTAATCAGTTTTAAAAATTCCTTTTAAAAGTAGTTACTGGTTTCTGTCAATGAAGATAAAATTCCCATGGATACATATAAATGAACTCTTTTGAATGTCTAGATCTTTTTTTCCATAAAAATACCTTAAGACAAACTACGTAACACCAAGAAAAGATAGATTAAAGCAGTGACTTTCTTAATTTCAAGAATAGACATGGCAAAATAATTTCACATTTCCAATTGTATCATGGGGAGGTACACATTGCATTTTGGGTTTATGTTTGTGTGTACTTTAAAATACATATATTCTTACCTTCCTGAAGTACTTGAATATACTTTGTTTTGCATATGTAAAATTAAATGATATTGTGATTCTCCATGGATATATATTTTCAATTAAAGTTTAGACACTTTAAGTTACATCATGGAAATGGTAAATTGTTGGAAAGGTGTTAATTTCTTTCTGCACACACACACACACACACACACACACACACACACACACACACACTCAGCTTTTAAATTAAGCAAATGATCTAGAATTATTCTGAGACTAGACCTAGAGGCATAGAAAAGACCAAATTCAGCCTCTCCTCCACCAGCTACTTTTATTGTGAGCAGGTTCTCAGCTTTGTATTTGGTTACCCCAAAGAAAGTTTGATGAGGATATGTCCCAAGCCAGCTCCTGTCTGTTTTAGAAACCATAATGCTTTGGGCTTCAAAACAATTAGGGACTTTTGCTTTGTAGGCTAGAATGGAGCTTTACCATCTTTTCAAGGACAGAGAGAGAAAGGCATTTCAGAAAGAAAAACAAAATCCCTCGTAACCTATTTGTGCACTGTGAGGGACTATTAGACTTGATTAACAAAAGTCTTCTACCCAATAAACATTTAGTTATTATTATATTAATTAATTTATTAATTAATTTGCTGCCGGGATGGAGACTAATCCCTCATTATGCCCCACGTCATAAATCTTTATAAACCAAGGCATTCTTAAGTCAATATCTGCATCAGTTCCCAGTTTTATATTTCAAACCAAATAATTCTAAATTAAAAATTGTATGAAAGCATTTTAGCATTGGATAAAATAGAAATATTGTATTTACCATTACATTTATTAAGAATTCTTTCCCTTTTTTTCGTAACTTGTATTTTCTACCTTAGAATCTTCAAAAGGGCAAGGCAGCAGGCAGAGAAGGAGCATGTACATTAGGAACCTGTATCTTGTTAGGAAAATGACTAGTCTTAGGAAAGAGAGTAAAGAAAAGGTAAACCAATATGGGACCGGCCATCAGCTAATGGAGACATGTATTTCAAGGGAGGTAGCAGAGTTCCTAGAGTAAGTTGGATCCCAGTGGTAAACCGCCCTCAGAGACAAGAAGGTAGATAGGGAAAATAGCATTTAAATTGTACTTTCCATGAAATTTTTATGTGGTTATGTGTATTAAATCAGCTAAAGTAGATGGCATGCCTTGATGTATTTGAGGGGGGAAAATATAAAAGCATTTTCTTTTCCTGGATATCATGTCAGTAATATATAGAGTTAACTCGACTTTTCAGGTTCAGTGTATGTTGTAATTTAAGGCTTTCCCAAATACAGTGTAACAGTATTGGTTTTCATGTATCACTAATGCATCAAGACTGAATTTTAGGAAGTGAGTGCTTGACAGTGCACAGAGGACCCTGACATTTATGGATGGTAAAGAAACCTCTCCTCACTCTTCAAATCACAGCTCTTGTGTTAGCCTCCATTTATGATGACTCTGTTGATGTGCTCCATTTTAGAACATAAAATAGAAACATTAGTGTAGATTTGTGTGTGCATGCATGAATTTATTTTTTACTTA